GTGTATAATATAATTACATGAACAAAGAACTTTATAGACTGCTTGAGTCCAAAATTAAATAATTTTGCAACATGTAATAATCAAGGATTGTAGTAATTCCCTTTGCTGCATGATTTGCAGCAAATGCTGGACACTTAATGATAACAGATGTGGCTTAGATACTATAACAACAACTTGTGCATAACATGAACTGCAACCAACATGCTTAGATTACACAGGAGTTTCTGAATTATGAAAAAAATGTTTCATTCTAGTTTAATTTTATCCTGAAAGATTACAATAATTAATCTTAAAATAAATGTGTAATGAATGTGGATCTACAATTTTATCATTATAAAGATTTTAACAATTCCTTATATGCATTCCAATGAACACATTAAAGGTGTTTCTAATGAGCAACTAACATTTTTTATGCAAAACGTATGTGCAAAATATTGCATTAAAACAAATGAAGATGGAATTATTTCAATATGTTTGCTATTATGAAGAATATAATGCAAGTTAATATTTATGTTTTTTCTTGAAAATGCTTGCTATTTGCGAAAGTAAACTACAGACAGAATAACTACTGTTTATGGTGTTGGGTTAATAAACACAAAAAACTCTTAATAAAGCAAGTAATTTATTTAAGTGTGTACATATATAAATCTAAACACAGAGACTTCAAACTGAAATGAACTCTGCCTCTGGTTTATAGCACAGTGTTCATATCAACTTTGATGAACATTTCTCTTAGATCCAAACTATATGCAAGTTGAAGTCAATTTACATATTTGAGAAGAGTGTTATGAGGTAGACCTAATTATTGGAAAATCAAACAAGTTATTAAAACTGCTTTATTTTTTTTTTTCCAATATGAAGAAATGATGTTATTTTGTATTTAACTGATACTATTAAATAACCTATTAAATACCACAAAAAGACTGGATAAATATACAGGTAGTATCCAAGAATAAGGACTATGTCTACAAAAGATACTTTAGTTAGCCAAAAATCTTTTCAATAGTAGAAAATTTGTTAATGTAAAAGCTTTAGTTTAACAAACTTATTGGTCTATCCAGCCAGTATCATTTTATTTTAATTAAAAGCTAACTTTTTTCTTGGTACTAAAAGTTAATATTTAAAATGGTTAACCAGATTTCCTACTTTAAGAAAATTTTACAAAATTTTGCAGTAAATGCAATTATATCAACATTACCTTCAAATAATTAATTTTGAAGAACTTTACCTTAAACTTTTTAATTTCCATAACAAGAGAACCCCCACTTGTTTCATTCATGTTACAAGTATGGACATTGTTGAAAACATCAAGAGAGAATTCATAAAACTGACATCTTTTCAACATATCTTCAACTGTCAAAATTATTCCAGACCTGTAAACAGTTTAAATGCAACATATGTTACTAAAATAATGAAAACCCAAACTAAGGAAACTATCATGTCTATCCAACGTTGTTAGTAGTTGGAAAAAAAAACACCATATATCTGAATGTAATAAAATGTGTAAACTCTATTTTTCTATTGGAATTTTATTCTAAATAAAGTTACAATGATGTCTGATGATACTTCTTGTTTCCAATGTATGTACTTTAATTTTTGATAAAGAATTTATTCAGGATACAAAGGAAGAAGCAATATAAGATTAGAGTAAATAAAACTAATGTTATGATATAAATATCCAATGAAATATGCAAAGTATTTTTAAACTAACTCACCTACAAAAAATTAAACTTAATTTATTTTGATAACATTAAAGCCCAGACAAAACTACTAAAGAAATAAAAAGATTTAATACAACACAAAATATAGTTAACATGTCCTAAAGAAAAGACTAACAAAATGCTATTTTGGTAATTTTAATATTTAAAACAAATGTAATACATGAAAATCAAAAGACAAGCTCAAGAAAAATACAAAAAATTGGGCCTCTGAAATGTTTATAAGATTGAGTTCAAATAACGCATAAGGTAATATGGAAGCAGCAGAAAAAAACATTAACACAATATAAAGTTATAATAAGAAAACTAGCTCAGCGATGAAAAATTAATCACTTTTTGATCCACGTGAACACTAAAATGTGTTGTAAAAAGTAACTTATCATCTGGTATTAAATCAAACATTGAAGAATTTATAAAGTTCAGTATTGCAAGCTAGCTCATCCAACGTGTACAGGGAGTTCCATGCTGCAGTAAGTCACAGATAAAGTGGAGCTCTTAATGCTACTCATATCTGTTATGTTCTCATGGTGGCTGTAACATTGAAG